TGACCACAAAGCTACCACTACAAAAGATTCTTCAAGGGATTCTGCCACAGAAAGTGAAACCCAACATAACTATGAATGGGCAGGCAGCAGCAAACTACAGCCATGAAGAAGAATGAAATGTTATCATTCAATGGTAAATGGATGGAATTGGAGAACATCATTCTGAGTGAGGTTAGCCTGGCCCAAAAGACCAAAAATCGTATGTTCTCCCTCATATGCGGACATTAGATCAAGTGCAAACACAACAAGGGGATTGGACTTTGATCACATGACAAAGCGAGAGCACACAAGGGAGGTATGAGGATAGGTAAGACACCCAAAAAACTTGATAGCATTTGTTGCCCTCAACGCAGAGAAACTAAAGCAGATACTTTAAAGCAACTGAGGCCAATAGGAGAAGGGGACCAGGAACTAGAGAAAAGGTTAGATCAAAAAGAATTAACCTAGAAAAAAAAAAAAAAAGAATTAACCTAGAAGGTAACACACATGCACAGGAAATTAATGTGAGTCAACTCCCTGTACAGCTATCCTTATCTCAACTAGCAAAAACCTTTGGTCCTCCCTATTATTGCTTATACTCTCTGTTCAACAAAATTATAGATAAGGGCAAAATAGTTTCTGCCAGGTAGCGAGGAGATGGGTAGGAGAGGGAGGGGGTGGGGGGGGTTAGGGAGATCATGGGGGAAGGGGGGAGAAATGACTCAAACATTGTATGCACATATGAATAAAAAAAATAAAAGTAAGTTTTTGCTGTCTTATTACATTGTATTCATATATTTTGCTTACATTACTTCTTGGATTTATCATGGTTTTCTTTGTAGCCTAATAAGGGCTTTTCATCTGTATGAATACTATTTAAAAGATATGTGTGCCCTGTTTTCAGGCACCCATTTTTCAAACATGTTATTAAGGTGCTCCATATGCTTATTTTTGTCTCTTTGACCAATCATGAAATGAGAAATGATTTGAGGTCTACTTTTAAAATGTTCATCTATTTTTTTCTTTCTTTCTTTCTTTCTTTTTTTTTTTTTTTTTGATGGAACTGGATTTTGAACTCCAGACTCTGCTTGCATAGCAGGCTCTATACTGCTTGAGTCACACCTCCAGTACATTTTACTTTGGTTATTTTGCCTCAGCTGGCCTTGAACCTTGATCTTCCTGATCTCACCCTCCTAAGTAGGTGGGATTATAAACATGATTCACCTAGTCTTCTTAAAACTTCCTCTGATCTGTTTCTGGCTGGATGTTGTCACTAAATCGTAAGGTTAGAGTGGGTTTTTTTTTTATACCCCAGGCTGGCCTCAAAGTAGTAGTCCTCTTGCCTCAACCTCCCTAGTTGCTGGAATTACAGGTGTGCATCACCATACTTGGCCAAATATTCCTTTTTTGCAGTGCTGGGATCAAACTTCAGGCCTTGTGCATACTAGGCAAGCACTCTACCACTGAGCCAAGGTAGTCATAATTTTGCACACTGAATTTTTTCTGTTGACATTTATAAAGTACTTTTATCTTGTTTAAAGCTCTATATAGTATAAATTCTATGTTGTTTGAAAGTAAAACCCTTGGCTAGCAGAGTGGTTCAAGTGGTAAGAGTGCCTGCCTAGCAAGTGTAAGGCCCTAAATTCAAACCCCAGTGTTGCCAAAACAAAAAAAAATTAAAACCCCATCTCCCACTTGTGTTTTATGCATAGTCCTAGTATATGTTAGTCCTCTTTATGTTTAGTTTTTATTTTAGATGTGCCTCTTCAGGTCATCATGGAGTTAGGTATGTATTTATTTGTTTTATCTGTCTCATGTGTTTTTACATCACTATGTGGTAATGTTTGTTTTCTTAATATAAAATAGATTTTTTTGTAGTAACTGACTTTATAACTTAATAAAATTGCACCTTTTCTGCTCTTTTTTTTAATTTTTGAGACAATCTTGCCCAGGTTGGCCTTGACTCACTATCCTTCTGCCTTAGCCTCCTGAGTGCTAGGATTACAGGCATGTACCACCATGCCTCACTTAACTAGATGCATTTTGATGGCTTTTTCTTAAATCTGGGCAGAACTTTTCATTTTTCTCCATATGTATTTTTGTACTACATACATGTCTCACCACCCATCAAACCCAAGCTAATCACACTGCTCTTTTCACATCTTGAAAGTTCTTGATGAATACAAGCGATATAAGCATATCACTTCCGGTGAGTTCTTTATCTACAGGAAGTATGTTTTTGCTATCGTCTTTTGAAATCTAGAAACTTTGGCTCTTTTTCCATGGGCTACTTTTCCTTTGTATGACTTGTACTACATTTCCCTCCTATAGGTTCTGTAAAGAGCTTAACTTCCATTATGCTAGGTCATATCTATTGTCTCGCTTTCCTAAAAAATTCAGTTTAGCTGGGCATCAGTGACTCACGAGTGTAGCTACTCCGGAGGCAGAGACCAGGAGGATCTTGGTTTGAAGCCATCCAGTGCAATTAGTTCTAGAGAACCTATCTTGAAAAAAACCCTTGCAAAAAGGGTTGGTGGAGTGTCTCAAGGTGAAGGCCCTGAGTGCAGGCCCCAGTACCACAAAGAAAAAGAAGAAACTGCAGTTTATGCTTTTTGGCTTTTTATAGTATTCCAAAAAAAAGTTTTCTCTTGCTGCTAAGTTCATACCGGAAATCCTAATATTGTTCAAACTAAATTTTCTGTTAGTTGCTGATGTAGAGAAAAGCATAGATTTTTCTTTTTTTTAATGTATGGTCCAGCAACTAGTATGTTTAGCACATGCTTATTAATCCCACCTGGGAGGCTGAGGACTTGAGTTTGAGACCATGGTGAAAACCTGTGTCAGACCTTGTATGCACATATGAATAATAAAACAATAAAAATAAATAAATAATAAAAAAATTAAAAAAGAAAGAAAGAAAGAAAACCTGTGTCAGAAAACAAACAAAAAATAAAAAAAAGTTTATCATTTGGTAATTCTGTTGGGTTTTCTCTGTTTACCATTATATTTAAATATGCAAGTAATGACATTTCAGTGTTACCTGTTCCAGTTCTTAACATCTTGAGTTTTTTTCTCCCTCCCCTTTTCCTACTTGTTCTCCATGTAAAGAGAGCTTACAATGTGTACTGTGTAATCTAAAAAAATATTTTATGAGGTTATGGAAATTCCTTATACTCTAACTTTCAGAGTTTTTGTTTTTGTAATGAATGGGCAGTGAATTTTTTTCTTTGGCTGGTGAGTTTTAGCAGACTTTTTCTGTATGGCAAGGGCTGGTGGAGTGACTCAAGGGGTAAAAAAGCCTGCCTAGTAAGCACGAGGCTTTGAATTCAAAACTAGTACTGGGGGGAAAAAAAAAACTATCACTATGGGAAGGAGTTGGTAGGATTTTCTCCTTTTGTTTATGTGGTAAATTGTATTAATAGATTTTGTAATGTCAGCATTGCAACAATGAGATGAGACTACCTTGAACATTGGTCTATTAACTAGTAATAACTAATATTTTGTTTAGTATTTGAATGTGGGTTCCTCAATGAGAATGGTTTGCCACTCCATACCTTCTTCTTGCCACATTTGGACTTCACGGATGCACTAGTCTCGTATAATTAAATTGTCTTGGCCTGGTATTTTCTTTGTTGGACTATAGGATTTTTGTATTAGCCTACTTTGTAATTCCTGTGTCTGTGGAATCATGTCTGTTATCAGTTCTGAAAAAACATATTGCTTTAAATATTTAAATATTTTTCTCCCATCTATGCTTGCTTTTCTGTTTTTTTCTAGAATTCGAATTACACGTATTGTACTTATTGTGTTCTCTGTGACTCTTTTCCATATTTTCTGTTTCCTTTTCACTGCTAAAATATAAGTCATTTAAAAAAAATCTATCTTTCAGTTTACATCTTTTTTTAATGCTATCCCCTACCCGTAGTACTGGGAATTGAACCCAGAGCCTCATACTTGCTAGTGAAGTGCTCTATACCACTAATCTACATCTTTAGCCATACCACATTTTTTTAACAGTTGAGATAAAATTCACCCTTTTAAAGTCTCCAATTTAATGGGTTTTTTAATATGTTCCACAAGATTGTGCAACCATTACTATGATCTAATTCCAAAAAACTTTTATCAGCCTACTACTTTTTTTTTTGGTTGGACTAGGGTTTGAACTCAGGTCTTTGCACTTGCTCTACTATTAGAGCCACACCTCCAGTCCATTCTGCTCTGATTATTTTGGAGATGAGGTCTTGTAAACTATTTGCCCAGGCTGGCCTCAAACTTTGATCCTCCTGATCTCAGCCACCAGCACCCTGCTCCCTACATCTTTTTTCAGTTATATCTAATTTGTTTTCGGGGTTTTTTTTGTTTATCTTTTAAAATTATATGTTACAATTATAAAAATTTCACCTAATGCTTTCTGTAGTCTTCGTATTTCCTGGCTGTTGAACTCAGGGCCTCTGCATGCTAGGCAGGTTCTTGTGACAGATTCACTTCTTTTGTGTACAGTGGTCTTTGATTATAACCCATATTTGGTTGATTTTAATCTAGCAAAAATTTTAGGGACAAAATTAAGGATACTTTATGAGGATTTTTGGGTACTTCTGCCAAGATGCAGTGATCATGGGATCTCTCCAATCCTTCTCCATGTCCTGTTGTTTAATGAGGAAATCTCAGACTTACTTTCCTCCTCTTGTTCAAATCCTAAGCCACAGTATCACTCATATGTCCTAAGGAGAACCTTGGCTGTGTTTCAGTTTCACACCACAGTTGAGTTTTGTTTTCTCCTCTTGGAGAGGTGTGTAGTCAAGGGTAGGAATAGGGAGTGCCACCCTCTTTTAAACCTTTGTTTATTTGAAGAAAACTGTTAGTACAGTCACACACAAATTATGGTTCATCCGTCTTTCACTGGAAGCACTAAATTTTATGAAAAGCTCCTTTTTTCTCTCAGGTAAGACTATCTCATAATATTCACCTTAAATTCTGCCAAGTTTGTTTTTTTATTTAGTTGTGTTTTGTGATTCTTACAGGATTATGTTGACAAAGAGAAGGCAATTGCCAAAGCCTTGGAAGACCTCAGAGCCAACTTTTACTGTGAACTCTGTGATAAACAGTATCAGAAACATCAGGAATTTGACAATCACATCAACTCCTATGATCATGCACACAAGCAGGTAAGGAATAATTATTTGCCAACAAGGAAAAAGATACTTTATCTAATGTTATAACTTGAATATTATGAGTATGCCAAAAAACAAAAACACCAAAAAGAAACTCTCACTGGTTTCTTGTCTGTACCAGTCTTTATTTGAGGTCATGTCACATACTTGATTTTTTCAGTATTAGAAATCCTGAGAACATACCCCCATTTCTTGGTCACTCCTCCCTCCATTTTAAATAGAATGAAGAATTATGAGTTTCATAAACCTTATGTAACATTTGTGGCTTTGAGCAATTTCTAAATTTTTACTTAATTTTATAATTCAGCTGAGGACCAATAAAAGCTTTGTTTCCATTTCTGAACATACTAAACTTGGAAAAGTTATCCTAGATTTTGGTCTTTTCAACTTTTAAATGTAGGCATTCATGTTTTATTGGCTACTATTTTTTTTTAATCAGTAAGTCATTTTGTTATTCATATTCAGTATACCTTGGATAGTGGGTAAGTCTTGAGAAGAAAAATAAAATTAGATGCTATCTTAACATTAACAAAAAATTCTGATGCTCTGTATTGAAAAACTGAGAAATAAATTATACTATTCTGTTTCTGTTGAGTTGGAATAGAAACTTGTGTGTAACTAGTTTCGGTGTTAATTCCTCTAGGGGTCTTTAAAAAAATGGAAGTGAATGTTTAGGATCTATAAGACAGTTCTGATTTATTAAAGATTTTGAACCGTTTGATCTTGGATCACTTGGGCATGACTTGCTGGGTCTTTTTAGGATATAATTCTTGCATTTGTTAGCCTTATAAAGTTGATGAATATTGCTTGATATATGTCTCTTCAACTATATCTGTTGAACCAAGTGGCATATTTTTGTTTTGTTTTTAGCTTTTCTTTTTTTTCCTCCTCCATCTTCCATCAAACCATAAGATTTCAGTAGACAAGTAAAAGGCAAGCTCTGACCAAGTTTTATTCTTACTGGCATAGGGAGAAGCAAGTTGATATATACATTTTTTGCAACAATACCTGCCACATTGAACCACACCTACCCAAATTAAGATTCTTCTAGTGGCTCAAGTACCACCAAAAAAACCAAAAATTCTTCTACTGATAAAGTTATATTCAAAACAGCTTTTCAACTTACTTCAGGCCTTTGAACATTGTTTTAATATGTTGTCATCTCTAATAGATTTTAAAAGTACCTATATGGGCAAGATAGTAGTTACTTTACTCCTTCAAAGAATCATCTTTTAGAAAATGAAAATATAACAGCAAAATGCTGTTTAGCTCATAACTTTTTCTGTTTTTTAGTATGTTTATAATTTCCAATTTTTAAGGGTTTTTTTTGTTTTAAGTGGAATTAACAAAGACAGCATATAAGTACTTACCCTCCTTTTTAGGCTCTTGAGAATTTCTTCAGTTAAAGAAGTATCTGTGAACCGGGCGCCAATAGCTCAAGCCTATAATCCTAGATACTTGGGAAACAGAGATCAGGAGGATCACAGTTCAAAGCCAGCCTGGGCAAAAAGTTTATGAGGCCTCATTCCAACCAGTGACTGGATGTGGTGGCATGTGCCTGTCATCCCAGCTACAAAGGGAAACACAAATAGGATGGTCACAGTCCAGGCCAGCCCAGGCATAAAGCCAGACCCTACTCCAAAAATAACCAACACATAAAGGGCTGGCAGAGTGGCTCAAGGTACTACAGAGTATGCCTAGCAAGCACAAAGCCCTGAGTCAGCCCCTAGTATAGGAAAAAAAAACCTGGCTCTTGGTGCTCACTTATAATCCCAGTATTTCTGGGGGCCTATGCAGGAAGATCAAAAATCCAAGGCCAGAGTTGGGGGTGTGACTCTAGTGATATAGTGCCTGCTTAGCAAACTTTGAAGGCCCAAAGTTCAAGGCCAGCCTGAGCTACGTAATAAGACTCTCTCAAAAACCCAAAGGAAAGAAAGAAAAAAAAAGAAGTGTCTGTGACATTAAAATTCCCCAGTGGATGCTTTAGAAACAAAAAGGACATTTAGAAAAGTTATATTTTTATTTGATAAGAAGTCTTGAGTGAAGTTTCAATTAAAAAAAAGTAAACTAGGAAAAATGCAACTCAAATTTAAATAATGCATAGAAAAATAATTGTGTTTAAGAGGGGAAAAATTCTACTAAAGTAAAACAGATTTGCAAGTTAAATCTGAACAAAAGTACAAAAGTAATAAAATTCATGTATATAGTAATTCAAATTGATATATGTTATTTTAGTATTACTGCTCTCAACTTGAGTGTAGTAGAAATATTACAGTTTTTGATTCATTGACTTTGACATGTTTACTCTACTTGTGTTGGCTTAGTTCTTTCCCTACTAAATCTATTGCAGTGGTTCTCAACCTGGAGAGACTTTTACCCCAATGACTTGGCAATGTCTAGAGACATTTTTAGCGGTCACACTTTGACATCTAGTGGATAGAGGTCAGGGATGCTGCTAAACATCCTACAGTGCGCAGGAAAGCCCTCAAAACAAGGAATTTCCTGGCCCAAAATGACAATCAATATTGTTGAGGTTGAAACCTGTACACTATTAGAACTGCTGAAAAACTTCAAATATATAGGGTATTGTGATGTCATTTGCCTTTGTGTAGCACAAACAAATCATTATAATTTTAGCTGGGTGTCAGTTGCTCTGGCTCACATCTGTAATCCTACCTACTTAGGAGGCAAAGCTCTGGAGGATCAAAGTTCAAGGCCAGCCTGGGTAAATAGTTTGCAAGATGCCAGAGCAAAATGGACTGGAGGCATAGCTCAAATGGTAGCACTCCTGCTTTGCAAGTTTGAAGCACTGAATTGGAATCCCAGTCCTACCAAAAAAATAATAAACATTTTGTGTCCCTAATTGTGTTATAAATACTTATAAAATGATCATTTTGGTGACCCAAAATACTCACTTTACTTTTTTAGATTGTCAAAATGAATGTATAAAATTTAGAATTTTTCATAGAGAACTCATGAGCTAACTGGCCACTAATATAGAATATATCCATGATCTCTGATCTGGAAAAAATGTAACTCATTATATGATTAATGAATACATTTGGATTTGTTTCTTCATTTTTATCAGAAGCTCATCTTAGATATTAAAAAAAGAACAGATACAGGGCTGATGGAGTGGCTCAAGTAGTAGAGCACCTGCCTAGCAAGCATGAGGGCCTGAGTTCCAATACTGAAAAAAAAAAAAAAAAACAGATGTAGTATGAGTTTGTCTTTTGTTTTATTTTTATTGTAGTGTTACTCATTTGTTTTTATTAGAGATGAAAAGTAGGCCTTTTCACCTTTCCTCATGCTTCTGTCTTATTGCAAGTGGTAGAATCTCAAAATAGCATACCATATCTATATCAACCAACAAAAAGTATTCAGTTTTTCTGTAGTTCAGTTATTCTCTGAAGTTATAATTTTTTTTGTTTTTCTTTTTTGGCAGTACTGGGGTTTGAACTCAGGTCCTCACACTTGCTAGGCAGGCACTCTACCATTTGAGCTACTTCACCAATCTGCACTTAAAATTTCTAAGGAACCTTCAGTTGACCTTTCTACAACACAGCTAAATAATCCCTAAGAAATAGGGCATATTTTTTATTCCTCTTTGGTGGACATAAAGTTACATACAAATAGGCCTACCACTTAACCAAATTCATGCTCTAAAATCATAAAGACACCTGTCTTGTCTTCCAGGAAGGCACACAGGATTATTATGAATCTGAGATAATAGGTAAGTTCTTTACTCTGTGTTAGTAATCCCTAGTTTGCATCTTCTACCAGATTTTCACCAACAAAAATTTTTCAGACAAATGATTTAGTAATGGTGAACTACTATACTACCATAGGTAGGATTCTGAACGTACCCATACCTTTATTAAGGACAGATCTATCACAGAGGGGCTGCATGGTTAATCTCATTTATGATGATTATTCTTGTGGGTAGAAGATAGTATTACATATCTTTCCCTATTAGTTTTTCTCAAATTTTCTAAGATTTTGTGAAGTTATTAATTCAGAAATACCCTAAATGCAAACTCTAATTAGATACTTTAACTCAGTAGTTTAAACCTAACTTTCAGGTGATCGATTTTATTACATTTTGAAATATTAAGGATAAGCCCAACCATTCCTCAAGAGATAACCCAATCTGTGATTCCTTTTTCATGTTAAGTTAGTTCTGATATGTCTAAATCCTCAAAATAATATTAACCTGATCATCTCCTACCTTTATTGGCTTAGTTATAAGCCATTGTTAAATTTGAAACCAAAGGCTTTTCTATCTATACCTTCTTGTCTTTACATTTGTCTCGCATATCTTTTAAAAATGCTTATCTGCTAGTGGATATGACAAAGAAAACTTTTCTTTAGCTTTATGGGGAACTTCAAACTTCAAAGGATGATGATGATGATGATGATTATCAGTATCTGGTGGTGCTAGAGCTTGAACCCAGAGCCTAGCAATTGCAAGGCAAGTGGTCTGTCACCTAAATTATGCCCCACAGCCTTTTTGTTTTCATTTTGCTTTTGAGATAGGATCTCTCTTACTTTTCCCTGGCTTGCCTCCAATGTGATCCTCCTGCCTCTGTTTCCCAAGTAGCTAGGATTAGAAGCATGCACACACCACACCAGTAGAATATTCTTTTTCCCAGAAATAAATTTGTAGCAGCATATTATAGATTAATGGTCAGCCTGAAGGAACAGCTCGATTAGGTAGAGTACCTACCTGCCTTGCACGCAGGGCCCTAGGTTTGATCTCCAGCAATGCATTTTCTTGGGGCTTCTTTGTTTGTTTGTGTTTTAAAGGTTAATGGTCTATGCTTTTAACACTTTTTTAAAACCTACTCAATTTTTCCAGTCTTCTATTTGTACCATTAAAGGTCCTTTGTAGTTCATGAGCCAGAGATCACAAATTACATCAGCAACTGTATTTGTCTAGTCTTCATTAATTTGTCTGCTTTTACTTTTAATTGGTTCCCAATTTTATAAAACCA